TAAATGTCAAAGTATTAATTCGGTGTCCATAGACCCTATATACATGTATGTTTTATGTGATTTGCTTTTATTTTTGACACTACAATAGATGGAAAAACTCACTCTGGATTAAAGATGGAAAGTTTTCTATTGGATAAATCAGCTGCCAAATTGTTAATGCTGACATAATCAATTAATTTTAAAGGTAGACAGTTTTTGAAAATTTAGTGTATCTATTTGAATGCATTTTCATTAAGGGGCATCATATTAATCATACAAAAAAGTTGTGTGTTTATTAATAATTTTCCCAAGCAAACAAACATGTTCAAAAAAAAATCAAACCCTCTTATTTTTATGTAGAAGCAAATAGCTTGAACAAAAATGTAAATATTTGCAGAACTACACTATTTGTTATGGAGTAAAAATCTGAAGTTAAAACTTAATAAACATTACTTGGGAAAAATGTAAACAAGTTTAATGAAACCCAGCATTCAATAGGAATGTGAAACTGGTCTCAGAGAAAAGAAAACCAAATCCGAGTATTGTATTTTAAAGCTAGATCATAAGCTCCCAACTATTACTTTTGCTAATACTACGAAGTATGGAACCATAACAGGAATAATCTTTAAAAAGTATACTTTCAATTGCATTTAATATTTTTGAATGTATAGTTTGTACCTGAGTTGATTCAGTGTTATATAATGTGTGTAGAAAACATACATTGCACTTTCTGCCATTCAACATTGGGCTTTGATATGTTTCCTGCAATAGCCAATTTATCAAGTTAGTTGAAAAAAAGAGAATATAAGAATATTCCAGAAACCATTTAAGGTGAAAGTGTTGAAATGGGCAAAGATAAAGCAATGTACCATATTTTTCGAAGTACAAGACGCTCTGAAGTATAAGACGCACCTAGCTTTTGGGGGAGAAAAACAAGAAAAACAATCTGCCTCTGCCTCCCAGCAATTTGCCTCCTTTCAGCAAATAGTAAACAGCCTGGTCAGCTTCAGCACAGTCTGAATTAGCACGAGCATCTGATTGTCAGTTGGATCGGCCTCCCCACAATCAGCTGTTTCAGGTTGCAGGGATCACCAGCACCTATTGCTGCCTTTGTATGCCCCATTTTCAGCCTCTGCATTCCATTTTTGGCCCATTCCGATCCCCGCCACCTGGAACAGACCCAAAATGAGTCACACGGAGACCAAAAATGGGATGTGGAGCTGTAAATAGAATGAGTGGAGGCAGCAATAGGTGCTGGCGATCCCTGCAGCTTGAAACAGCTGATCATGGGGAGGCCAATCCAACTGACAATCAGCTGCTTGTGCTAAATCAGGCTGTGCTGAAGCTGACCAGGCTGTTTGCTGCAAGGAGGCAAATTGCTGGGAGGCAGAGGCTGAGGGGTGGGGGACGGCAGAGGGGCAGGGCTTCAGCAACATATTCTGTATAAGACGCACAGACATTTCCACCCACTTTTTTGTGGGGGGGGATCTTATCCACTGAAAAATACATACAGTTATATATTACAGGCCCTGTCCTTTGAAACAGCAGATCCAGAAATAGGTACAGTTCCTACTCTCCCAAGTCTTGTAAGACTTGGCTCTGCTCTCACCGCTGATGATTTTTGGATGTTAATGTTATTCTTTTGTCTGGGTGGTTATGTTTTTAATTGTGTTTTAAATTATGTATTTGAAATATTTTAAGCCTCCCAGATTCTTTTTGCAGCCTTAAAAATCTAATAAATAAAATAAGGGATAGGAAAGATATAAGAATATGTGTTTTTCTAAGAAACTCAGTTAGGTTTATTGCTCATAATACATTATGTCTTATAGACATACTGAAAGCATCCTAAGTGAACTGTATTGTGGGCATTGAAGTCATCAGAACAATCACCCTAAGCATCTTCATTTTTTTTCTTTCTAACTCAAGTAGGAACAGACCATAATTCTCTTTCTGCTGGCATGCCAACAGAACCAAGTTTTATAAACTCACTTAAAAACTGGTAACAATAGAATCACCTCTATACCTCAATCTCTAGATACTGTATTTTCTATGAAAAAAATATATGCTCTTTCCAAAGAAATGGTTCTTTGGAGATATTCAGGTCCGTTGGTAGTTGGCAGGATTGAATTAGATATGTTTTACTTATACTGTATGTGCTTTACAATTACATACATTTCTCAACTTTTCTTTGGCTTCTGATAGGCCAAGAATAGAAGACATCTCATTAATGTAAAAAAAAAAAATCCATTAACTGAAATAAGCAAATAGTTTTTGGATTAAGATACATATTGAATTGCAGGGTTGTTTGTTTGTTTAGATTGTACAGTTCTCAGGTTTTTAAAGTATAATAAATTGGAATAAATTTGAACAAAACACATTCATTACTTTAGAATGTAATATAATATGTAATTGAACATACCTCCTGAAGTTTACATAGAAATGGAAAAATGAATCACATGCTAGTTAATCATGTTTACCCTGAAATTAAGATCTTTTTCTGAATTGTTCTTTCAGCCTGTCAAATTGTTAGTTACTATTTATTAAATAATGCCAATAGAGAACATATTCAAATTATCTCTAATTCATATTTTTTTCTCAATTTGAAATGCATAAATGGTGATACAATACACTTTTCTTGATCAATCTAAACATTGTATTTTGTGTACAGAACAAGTATTATTCAAATTGTAAATGAAGGGAATTTCCACAATTTCTGTATTTTGAAAGTTCATTAATTTTCTGTTAACACGAAATGAGTTCTGATCCTTTGGGTTTGTTTCTCTATTAACATATTTAACGGGCTATCTGCATTAAATATGTTAACAGAGAAATGTAGCATCAACAAAGTAACTGTTCAGTGTGTTTTCTTGTAGCATGTAAAATGCTTGTTGTGTGAAAAGTGAACAATAAAGTTATGACTAGTTTGTCATTAGCTTTAGTCAGTGTTTCATAAATTTATTTAAACCTTAATAAAAATAATAGGATCATTATTCTTATCTTTTTTAAAAGTTTCTATCTTTTGAGCCTCTCCATTATATATGTGCTGGTAGCACAAAAGTCTATTGTGTATTGTTTTAATATAGCAACTTGTGTTGATGGATAAGAGAATGTAGTATATTTCCTATTGAATATTGTGACATCAGCAGTAATTTTTATGAGCAGATATAAAGTTAGCTTTAATATGTTAAATGAATTCTTTAAAAATGTTTCTAAGGAATATCCAGCCTTTAAATTTAAATGAAATAAAATACAATTCAAGCCAATAAAACAAATCAGAATTTTATTTACTGATTAATTTTATGAAATGCCATGTGAAATAGTTGGTTAAAAAGTATATTAAATTGGGTTTTTTAAATCAGTGCAGGGTTAATTAGTTATTATCTAGCAATAGGAGTGCATAATATTTGGTTATGAGTTGTATTTGTATACAATAATCTTGGAGTATATAATTTTTTGCATATTACTTAGAAGCTAAGAAAAAAGTGAAAAACCTTTATAAGTAACCCAGGAGTTGAATAGTCTCCTTCACCTGATGTTTTTATGAAATACCTATTTTAATTATTCTGTTTTAACTTTTAATGAGTTATGATTTTTCTTTATTCTTTCATGTAAAAGTACCTGTTTCTCAGTTTCCTTCACAGTGAATATTCTTGTGAATTCAGGTGAACAGAATTTTAAAATATGTTGATATATCTAAAGTTTTGATAGTGATGCATTATGAGATTTGAAATACAAAATTAGATTTATTTTTAAATGCACTCAATAAAACAGATACGATAGTTTCAAATAGCCTAAGCATAGAATAACTATTGATTATAGTATATTGACAGCAGTTTTCTGTGTGTAGAAAATACATGGGCAAAATCATACTTTATTTAACTATGGCTAATTCATGAAACCATTTCTGGCTTGGTTTATGCTTCAGTCTAAACCATAAATTATGGTAGACAAACTACAATGATTTGGGATCACTGAATACTTCGTTTCAAATCAAAACAAAATATCACACATATTGTGTGATTCTTAAGTATGGAAAAGTCTATAAATTAGGTTAAATCTACTGTGTAGCCAAGATAGCAGTTTATAAGAATAGGTTCTACTGTTCCCCAATTTTCTTCCTTTTATAAATTGTCCAATGGAATGAATTCAAAGTGTTGAAGACTAACAAACACATACAACCAGATTAATTCTTATTGAATCAGCAAATGTTCTAGCTCCCATCTGCTAAGGAATTACATCTGTCAGAATGGTCTTTTCTGCCATGGCACCCGCCTGGTAAAACCGTAACTCCCATGAAATGCAATTGACCCCATCTCTGCTGACCTTCGGTAAGTCCTTTAAAAACAGGCATGGAATCTCAAGGGAATGATGGCCTGATGAGGTGGTTCCATTGTCTGTACCAGGATGCTCTCTCTTGGCCTTTTCCTAATAATAATATTAATTTTTGAGCTTCCTAAATTTTTTGTGTGGTTAGTTTGTAAGCTCCCCAGAACTGTCACGTGAGATGGGCAGCCATAACATTAGTAAATGTTATTAAATAGATCAATAAAGATCTGTATATATTCCAGAGACCATTCTTATCCATTAATCTGAGCAAGTTGTCTTTCTATTCAAGGTAAAATTGTTACAGAATTACCTCCTGATGAACTCCCACTTGTTCTCCTGTTTATTCATTTATTTAAATAATTCATTCTCTCTGGGTAATATGTAAGAATTAAAACAATAACTTCAGCATCCGCATGTAATTCATGTCCAAATTAAAATGTCAGAAAGACCATGTCACCAGCAAAGCTCCCTCAACCACCTGATACAAGTGCCTGGGGAAACAGCATTCTAATAATAAAATTAAAATGTGAAAATCAATATTCATTTTCATAGGATTATATCATAAATACAAAATAACTAGTTACAAAATAAATAGGTACAAAATAAATTTATGGATCAAATATCTTTCATACAATGCCATTACTATCCTTAGTAAGTGATCTTACTAAATCTTAATGATCTTTTTTCACCTGTTAACCCTTAAACTGGTTTTGCAAATGAACTAACCCTAACCCTAAATGAACTTCTGCATGCTAACTTCTGCCTGAAAGTGGGCTTTAAAATAAAAGTCTACTGCGTACTAATAATATTACCTCTGTTTCTTTAGCCTGTTAGCCCTTTTTCTATGTCACTGACTGCACAGCAGAAAAAAAAGCGGTGTACAGAAGATAATGAAAGAAATTGGAACTGCAACAATATCGGCTATTTTCACTTAGGAGTCATGTGCTATACTGAGCAGCATGTTGGATTTTCATTTCAGAAGTTTTGTCTTCAATTTCTTGTTTTACCCTTTGGCAATTTATGTTCACTGATTAAAAAACAGTATATTATAATCAGCTTTCTTTGTACATTAAAATACTTTCCTAATACCCCAGAGGAACTGTGGGACTTATAACTCTTCTTGAAGAATTTACAGTATATGTATAGGCATGATTAGTCACGTGGTTTCCTTAAACATCTGCTGGGCTGGCCTTTATGCACTGTTACAAGAGCACAGCTGGGATTGGAAAGGCAGCAGATTTAAAAGCAATACCAGGTATTTGGAATTTTGAAATCTAAAAATAAAATTGCGAAACTCTACAAAGGCTTCCACACAAAGTTTCTTTATTGGATTTTAGTAGGCATCCTCAAGGTATAACTCAGTTATGTTGAGATTCATCTAATGCCCATAGTCATCTTTGCATAGTCATCTTCATAATGTGAAAATATGGTTATCTTCATCCCATAATGATACAACAAAGTAAGGCCCAACATGAAGCTGGATCGAGGCAAGAGTGAACAAAGGCTTCCCCCAACCCAACTAGAGGTCAATTCAGTGACCAATCAGAATTACCGATGTGACCACATGACTTGAACTACATTTCCCATGAGGCATTAATTACATTTCCTATGAAGCATTTCCTTAAGGGGACAGCTCCCAATTAAGGTTGTGGCACGAACTCCATTGCTTTTGGGTTGAGCTGGGGAGTTGCTGCTTGATGTAAACCTGCCTGCTGAGAAATCTTTGTTTACTGATGGGTTAATTTGCTTGCCCTGCAGTTCTTGAGACATTGGGGTAGGTTTTCTGTTTTCGGGAATGGAATCTCGAGTTTTAGGCCTTACAACATCAGTTTTATGACTGGCATTTAGATCCTGTGGTTGAGATTCTCCCCTTTGATCCTTTGGTTTTGGGGGATGCTAACTAACTTCACTGGTTCCACTTGTTTGTGCCGTAGCGAGTACTGCTCATCCACATAGGCCTTGACACATTTATCTGGGCTCTCTCTCTCCAACTCACCAAGATTGAAGGAAAGCATCATTGGCCACCTTCTGCAATGCTGCGGCCCGTGCTGTCTTTGCAACCGCCTCCTGTTGTTGTTCGAGCAACTCCAATTTGGCCAATTCTACCTGTTGGCTGGCCTGAGCTTTGGCCATTTCTTCTGCTTGGGCTGCTACTGCCTCCTTCTGCCATGTCACCTCCTCTGTTGCATGTAGATCTGCCTTTGCTACTGCAGCTTCGATTTGAGCTTCAGCGGCTCGTTTGGTGTAACTCGCTGCTCGTGAGGCCTTAGATGTGGCCTTAGATGTGACATCCTCGCTGCGACAGGAGGATGCTCTGGAAGGATGGAAAGAGTTAGCAGCAGAGAATTGCTGTGAGATACTGGAATCTGCTCGAAATCTAGTTGGCTTAGGATGGAGGGAGGAGGCTTTCTTAGAATAATGGGAGGAAGCCACGCATGATCGAGGGGCTATGTCAGATGTGGCCCTCTCCCTTGACATTTCTTCCAGCTGTAGTGTGTCATGGAGTGCTGCCTGGAGTGAGTCTTTGCCTCTCTGAACATAGTCCTTGCATTCCTTGTTTAACTTCTTGAAGCATTGTATGAGCTCTTGGAGCTTTGAGTCACCCATCCTAGACTGGATGGATTTGAAGTTACTTTTGCTGTCTCTCCACTGTGCGAGAAGTTCATCTATTTCCTTCTCCAATGAATGGATGCTCTCGAGGGACAACTTGCATTTGGGAGTATCGCAGATCTTCAGCAGCTCCAACCATGTGTGTGCATAGTGTCGATACTGTCTGTCCCAATCCTCCTTCAAATGTGACTCCATGGCCTCGGTAGGCTTTCTTTGTTGTCTGAGGTCGTAGGCTTTCTGAGATACCCCTGCCTCTTCAGAATTTTGGACATCCGATTCTGGGTTTTGAGAACCAAGCTCCACGTTTACATCAAGAGTGGGTGGGGGGTTCGAGTCCTCTGGCACATCAGAGACATCTGTCATGGCTGAAGATTGGCAGAAGGTGAATTTTGGAAAATTTAGCAGTTTTCTATGCAATTCCCCTTTTTTCCACTAGGGTGCACTGCAAGTGGGTAGCTGAATTTAGGAAACTCCATTGAAATTCACTGGTTGGCCACTAAAGTGTGTTGCAAGCTCTGGAAGACGCTGGTGCAGTACACAGGTTGGCCGCTAGAGTGCGTTGCAAGATCTGGAAGATGCTGGTGCAGTACAGTGATTGGCCACTAGATGATGCTGCAACAGATAAACTTGATTGCAGGCACTCATGCTTTGAAGAGTAGTCACCTCTTTACAGATGTAGAGTGACCAAAGGTATTTATCGCTCATTTCTCCATGGAGACATCCTGCAATAAAACCAACTCCCTCTGGCGAAGGAATTTTTTGGCACTCAAACTTCGTTTTCCTTCTCCCTCTTTGTTCCAAGACAGCAGCAAGTATCATAGAGTCTTTTTCAATTCTAATACTTTCACTCAAGTCGTTGCAAATGGGGGGATTTCTGGCTCCTCCCAATAATTCAAACGGGCTTTATAACTTTCTTGCTCAGAGAGAGAGAGAGAGAGGATTCAGGGTTTAAAACCTTTGTTGCATTCTGGTTTGACAAAATTTCATTCAGCTTCATTCTTGCTTAAGAGGAAGTCAGAATCAAGTTTCTTTTTCATTAATTTAAGAGGAAATCAGACTCATCTTTTTACTGTCCATAGGAAAATAAGATTAAGCATCTTTCCACTTTCTCAGGAAATCACATATAACCATATTTTCACTGTCTTGTCAGTCAATATTTATCTTCTAAAAATGCTTAAGATAAGCAGTTAAACTCTAAAAAGGCTTCCATATAAAGTTTCTTTATTGGATTGTAACAGGCATCCTCAAGGTATAACTCACAGTTATGTTGAGATTCATCTAATGTCCAACCTTTGCATAGTCGTCTTCATAGTTATCTTCATCCCATAATGATACAACAAAGTAAGCCCCAACACGATGCTGGGTCCAGGGAAGAGTGAACAAAGGCTTCCCCTGATCCAACTAGAGGTCAATTCAGTGACCAATCAGGATTACAGATGTGACCAATGACATGAACTACATTTCCCATGAGGCATTAATTACATTTCCCATGAAGCATTCCCTTAAGGGGACAGCTCCCAATTCCCAATTAACTATATACTGTCTAACCATTTAAATATTAACATTTTACACATTACTTTTCAGATAAGTATCATACTTCTATGGGAACACTTATAAACTTTCCATAGTTAATTCCCGCCCACTTCACTTATATTTTATAAAACATTGAGTAATTAAAATGTTCCCGTTCCTTCCTAATTCAATTCTCTCATTTTATTTCATTTATTTTGTTCACAAAAATTTCACTAAATTACACTGACTATTTTATCCCACTTTTTAATCATACGTTGTTTCCAATTTTCTAACATTATTTCTATTACAAATCTTATGTACCTTCACAGAATCCCTTTTTCAGTTAAATTTTCACCCATTATCTCTGAATAAGTTCTGTTTCTTTACATTTTGCTCCAAACCTTTGTAACTTCTCTTCCTTTCCTTCTTCCTTTTCTTCTTCTCTCTCCCCTTTTTACCCCCATCTCTCCACCTCCATTTCCCTTTTCTGTATTCCCCTTTTCTGTTGCTTTCCAACTTTATATCCACTTTTCAAATTATTTTCCCCTTTTTTGGCTGTTTTTTTTTTTAAGTCTTAAATTCTCCATTCTCTTCCCCCGCTTTCCCCTTTCTTCCCCAAATAGAGTTACTTGTTCATTAAAGATGGCTTCTTCTTTGTCCCAATCTTCTAGTTGCACAGTCTTTTCTTGTTGTTTCTCATAGATGAAGATCGCCATTTCTAAGAATTGAAAAACGGAGCCAAAGAAGCCCTTCCCTTCTTGTGCCTCTTCTTTATATTTTTTAAATTCCATTTTCAGTTCATCCATAAGCGATGCCATTGTAGAATTTTTTTAAACAGCCACCCAATTGTTTTTAGTCATTCAAGTATAATATCCAAAAATCCCAAAGTCACCAAACAATCCAAATACACACAAGCTGTTTCTTTTTACACTTCCTTCTTTGTTCACTTTCTCTTCCTGGGGCTACTATTTAGTTGCAAAATTCCAGTTAAAATGTATCTTTTAGAAGTCTTGTTGAGATTTTACTTTAGATTCTTTTGAAGTCCAGGCAGTCTCCTCTTCCAAATCCTGCCCTTATTCTTTTCCTCCCACTTCCTCCTTACAGAAAGAAAGGATTTTTTAGTGTCCAGAAATCTTTATTGTCCTTTGGTATTTAATTATATTTTCAGTTTAATTACCTATTAATGCCAAAGCGGATTTTTCTGATTTCTTATTCAGCTCTCTTCGTTGTCAATGTGAGGAAGGAGAGTGAAGGAAAAAAAAACTTTCCCTTTTCACTTTCTTTCGCTGCTTCCGATTCTTCTTTGGGAGCGATGTTATCTTTTATAAAATTTAAATTCCAGGGTACCTTAGTTGTTGCTTTTTATCCCGGTCAGCCAAAACTTTCACTTCTTATCTTCCTCCTGCACTTTCTTTTCCGGTTGAGTGCTTCTTTGAGGTGGCCATTTCTGACCACCGCTCCTACCGCCTTAGGGAAAGGGAGTTTGACCAGCTGAGAAGAGGTGCGGCTCCCTCGACCCTGCTGGCGATCTCCCCCCTCTTCACCACTTCTATAGGGTGGCTTAACCCCGAAGCCAGCTGACTCGTGGCGCTCCAGCGGCGAGCCCAGGCAGAAACCGCACATGATCGCGGATTCCTGCCTACCGCCGAAGCTCTGTAAACCGGAAGTCTTGTGAACATAATATTTTTATATACAAGCTTTATAACTATCTACTGATACTTTGTAATACATATCTAACTATTTATTTCCATTCTGTTATATTTTGCCAATGAAATTTGTTTTCCAGACAGTCAAATCTATCAGATAAAGTGACAGGGGAGTGCAAACTTCTAAAGAAGGCACATTAAATCGCTTAGAACTAGCCAGAAAGCTTTAACAGCTCTCTTGGCTGTTGCAGTAATGTTCTTTTTCCATCTGCTGCCTTCAAACATTCTACATTCTTTATTCCAAACAAATTGTTTGCTTGTGTGTTCATGTATGGATGAACATTTTCTTAGAAAACTATTCAGTGGGAAACTGAATATTATTTAGGATAGATAATTCTTTTTCATGAAACTGCTTGTGGAAAACAGGTTATTTATTGTTAAATAGATATTTGATTTCATCAACCCAGATTTGTTTTGCCTTTTATCTAAATATTCCTGTGCATCTGCCAGAGTCAGTTTTGGTTTA